CAGCGGCGAGGCAGCAAATTCACGATTGATGTTCTCGAGCATGTACATCGTCCCCTATACGGGACCTCACCAAACTTCGGTAGGCTTGGGGATTGATCCCAGCGTCTCCGACGCTCCCGGCGGTCATCGCAATTTGCACCGGTCAGTGGGATCGTCATGTCGATATAGCTCTTCCGGACAGATCCGATGGAATAGTTGGTTCGTTGGGAAATCCCGCGCCTCTGGGGTTCCGAATCCCCTACCTGGCTCAGGATAACCCAGAATTAGTTGGGATGGGGTTTAGGCGAACACGCTCTGGCTGATCTCGCACGTAATTCAGTCGCGCCGCGACATCTTGAGTGCTATAATATTCATACGGGCTGTCAGGAGCATATGCCGGCCCTGAATGGGGATGGTCCACTTCGTCCTCGTGTCGTGTTCCTGGCTTTCGAGGTCGTCAAATTCGGAGGGGGGAGGGGGGAAGTGAAAAGGGGAGAGGTGGGGGATGACGGGGTAAGGGATGGGAGCGGGACAAACCCTGGTTCATGTGGGGGTACTCTTCCTGGCGGATGAGCTCGACTGGCTTGCTGTAAGGGGTTGGGAGCTCGGTGGTGTCATTGTTGGTGAGCAGTTTGTGGTTGTTGGTCTCTTTGCCGTTGGTGGTATGGACCGGATCAGACGTGACACTCAGGCCACGCGCGAGTGTTTGGGTTGGCGAAGACACATGTTTGAGTCCGGGGCTGAGCCGACGGCGGAGAGAAGTAAGAGATCTGCGGCGCCACGAGATATCTGGTGCGGATCCTTTCGTGTTGCCGTTTGACTTAGTGATGTGGTTTTCACGCTTCCGCCCTGAGAGACGGACGAGAATGTTGGATTGAGCCATGGAAAAACAAGAGTGGTGTTGCTGGACTTGGTGCATTGGTTAATGCTTGGGACGAAGAGAACCAGATTCTTATACCCACAAGCTAACTATACTACCATGATATCGACTTAAAAAACATGTCCAACCCCACGTCATCTTTGGCCATCCCCGGAAATGCGAGCTGGTAGGGTTACGTCTGGCATCAATAGTCTGGTCACTCGTGGGAGGGAGGCCCAGCGGCACAACCGACTCGCTCGTGAGATCTTAGACCGGTGTGCCTTGGGATCGAAACGAACATCATCATCAGCCATTCGCAAGAAGGAGCCGCCCCTTCCCGAGCAGGCAAGCGGCCTGGGCAGCTGATACCCGGCAAACATTACCTGACATTTCAAGCAACCCAACATCATATTGGCGAGGCTTGTACGCCCTGAGACTAGCAGGTGATTGCCAGAGCGGTGAATGACGCCAAGGTAGTGGGTAATCATAGTCCGGGACGAGGAGTCTCAGGGCAGATCCTTCCCCGGGTCACGGTCTGTCCCCAGTCATGGCCCCTCCATCGAGTCCACCCGCTCCCGTGATCCTAGCTGAGATGACGGACATCGGATGTTTCGATGAGCTCGCCTCACAGGTGGGTAGGGGCCCTCAAAGGGCTGTGAGTAAAACGGATCCATGGAGGGGGCTTATCCCCAGGTGTTCGATCGGAAAAGTTAACTGTTGCCAGAAACGATACAAGCTAGGGCCTCCATATGCCGGCTGCCAGCTTGGAGAAACCCATGGCTCATCAACCCCCTATCTCACACATGTTAGCAGTTTTCGACGAAACGGAACAGAATAACGGTCCTGCGGCTTACATGGGCGATTCTGTGGGGCCTCTGAATGCCTTGTTCTCCGGACGGCAGAGTCAGTCTCCCGAAGCGGATCAAAAACGGTGATGGTGCTTAGCTAGTAAGCAGCTTCGAGTCCCGCTTCGTGGCTGCCGCCACCTGAGCCGTTGGCTTGATGATGTCTCAGAGTAAGGAGCGGCGTGGATGCCGGCCACAGAAAGCTGAGACATTTTTGCCTTTCTCCGACGACAGCGGACGGTGGCAGATTGGTCGGCTAGCCGTAGGAGCATATTCGAGAGGGGCAATATCAGCTCAGAGGCTCAACCGAGGGCGATGCTGAGGGATTTGGCCCGTGGACCGGCCGGCGATTGGTGGACAACGATAGCCCTACCGAGATGTCACTTGCAGCTAAATGTCAATCCCGTCCCGCCCGACGCAGCTTGTATTGTTCCCGTGAGGAGCCATGCAGGAGCCAGGCCAACAGCATTGTCATACCCGGGTCTGCCCTGTGCCTCAAATGATTCCCTTTTGGGGAGGGTGAAGGAGCCGGCAGTTCCCCGAGCATGTTAAAGTCGCCGATCTGAGCCAAGGAGATGAAGATGATTTGTTGCGGATTCCGCTCTCTTCTCTTTCTGGACGAGGGGGGGTAGCACTGGGGCTGCCGTTGCAGCTGAGTCGGAGCTGCGGGAGGATATGCAAGGCGGCTACGGCTAGCTGATCTGGCATTGTGTTGAGCGATATGAGGTCTGTGGCGCCCTGGGCTTACCCGCGGATTACCACCACATCTCTTACCGGAGGGGTGTCACTGCAGAAGATAGCCATCCTAACCGAGGTCGTCTTGGCAGCTACCAACAAGCCTAGCCTGACTTGTTGCACATGTGTATGAACGAGACGGATTGGCGATCTCATTCCGGGTATGGTCCGCCAGCGCGAGTTTTGAATACTCGAGCCCAACGGGAGAGTGATGACAACGAAGTGAAGCTGCCGCACCGGATGTGACATTGAACATGAGGCTAGAATGGAGTACACCGCCCGACCCCGAGGTTATCAGCAAACATGCAAAGTTGACAAAACGAACAAAGAACAACCCTGGACGTCTTTAGCAAATCGATTGATTTACTTGGACGTTTGGTATCTCCCAACTATATCCGAGCCCAAGACTTCATTCAGGAGGGGGAATATGGAACTCAGGTATGGCAAGTCAAGAGGTGGGCAATGCGGCATCACCACCGGCAGGGCTCGTCGTGGAACTGCAAGGTGCGGCTTAATCTTCCTGACAGCACATCTTGTTTGATGATAGGACGATGATGATGATGTTGACATGTTGTGAGCCCAACACGTCTGCGGAGAGTTACAGTCAACTGAGACATTGGCTCGCAACCCACCTCGGTATCGATTACAATGAGCCGCGCAAGAAGAAAGACGTCAACCAACATTGAGCTGATAGGCGATGCCTGCCAACCACCCGGGCGGCCTGCTAGCCCGTTTAAGGTATGGAGGTAGTCGTTCCTGTTGGAGGAGCGGTAACCGGAAAATCGCTTGCCGCGCTCTGCGCTCTGCGCTCGCATTGAATTTGTCAACTTCCACAGCTCGTGTGACAACCCATGCTGGTTGGGAGAGGGAGTTGGTGATGATCTGACTGTAGGTATGGTGGTCGTGGTTCATTCATCACTCAGCCGAACTGGGATGGATGAAAATGGATGGAGGTTGAAGAGCCCATGTCCACCCCACCCTGTGATCGGCGCTAAGGGGATGCCATCTGAGCACCTGGAGTGCGGGGGCCACAGGACCCACGGCGCTGTTCGTAAACACCAGCAGGCCAAAAAGCCCGAACAGGAAGGGGAGCAAGAAATCAAGAAAAGTGAAAGAAGTAAAAAGTAAAGACCAAAAAAGAGGTAAAAAAGCTGAGTAAAAGAATTTAAATAAAACAAAACCGAATCAAATAAAAGTACGAAGTAGACATTGGGCTTTCGAAGGGCTTCCAGGTTTCTTTTCGTTCCTCTGGTCGGAGTTCGGCTTTTTTTGACCAGAGAGTCCATGGTACCGATATCAACAAGCACTCGTTCGTCCCAACTCCAACCTCCTCCACCAGTCGCAGGGCTGATCTTCAACTCCCAACTTGCTTCTTGCTTGCAGAATGTAAGACACATCACTGCAGGATTCAAGCTCACCAAGGACCTTCGATCCACGGCGCACCCTCTGCCGAGTGGCCAGGAACCTGAATTTCCTATACGACTGTGGGAGTGCGCATTCTCGGCACCACACCTAACCACTCATTTCATTCATGGATGATGGCATAGCAGCAGAGAGGTTCAAGGTCCATGCAACCATGGAGGATCCGAATGGAGAGGTGGAGCAACCACGCCGTGCCCTTGGCCGACATCACATCACATCACCACTCGCATCACCACTTTCCCAATCCATGCATGAGAAAGGAAATCGCTAGATCTATTCCGGCTATAAGCACCCGGCCCGATCCCGCTCAGCCTATCATTTCCTAAAGGCAGGTACCAAACCAATGAAGCGAATCCGCGGGGAGTGGATGAACCAAACCAGAACCACCACCACCCCATCCTCTGAGTGGAATGAATAATTAACCATTTTAATACAGCTGTCACGCAATCGCCGCCATCACCCAGGTCATCGCGGATCTATTCCCTCATTAGGCCCACTCGATCACATCACGGCAGGACCATGATCGCCGAACCGCGCAAAACTCCCTGAACGCCAATCACCCAATCGCCCGAAATGAACACACACCCGTCATCAATCCATCAACCGATCGTCGCATCCGCCTTGGACCAGACCATTAGAGCATCATGGCGAACGCGGCACCGGCCACCAGCACGGTGGCGACACCGACCCTCAGGCCCGACGCGCCGGCCGTCTCGATGCTGCTGGTCGGGGGCGGCGGCGGCGGGCGGGAGGGTGCCGTTGCCGGTGTTGCTCGGGGGCGGGGTGATGATGGACGAGGGGGCCGAGGCGGGTGGTGGACGGGGACGAGTTGTCGTCGTCACCGTCGTCGTCACCATCACTCATCACCGCCGTCGCCGTCGCCGGGGCCGGGCAGGGTGACCTGCTCGAAGCTGGCGCAGCTGATGCGGGTCTTGTTGGGGTGGTGGAAGACGATGCTGCGGTTACCGAAGAAGGCGCCGATGCCCTCGAGCGTCGACGCGTACAGGTCGACGTAGGTCGCCTCGAACGCGCCCTCCGCGTCGGGGGTGATGGCCCCGTGCTTGCCGCTCAGGTCGCCCACCTGGCAGGTCGCGGGGGAGGACTTTTCGCAGGGCGTCGCCTCGCCGCGGATGTACGGGTCCAGGTGCGCCAGCGTCGCCGTGCAGTTGCCGTTCTCGGGCACCGGGTCCACGTGAAGATGGTAGGCTGGGGAAACGGGCGTGTTAGTGGGTGTGCTCTTCCTTCCGTTTCGGGGAAGCAGCTAGCTGGGTAGGCAGGGAGCTGCTACCTCGGATAGCTAGCTGGCCTGGGGGGTTGTAACTTACAGAAGGGGCCGCCGGTAGTGGGCAGGTTGCTGAGCTTCAGGGTGAAGCGCACGCCCTGACCGTCGGGGTTCGCCTCGGCCGTGACCTCGCCCTTGATGTTGTCACCGTCCGGGGTACGTGGGGCTCGAAAAAGGCCGCCTCGGGCAGAGTCGCCTTGTACACGACGCCCAACGGGGTTGTTGGTTCACCGCGGCGGGCATCACCGAAGTTCCTGTAGTTGGTCGGTTTAGTATTTCATGATCGTGAGAAGGTGGCTGGCCAAATGGCTACATACGCCTGGTGTCTTGGGCAGAGACATGGGTGCCTGGCCGCAGCCCAGCAGCACCTGAGAAGCTGGGTCGAGACCGCGCATTGTGATATTGCTGTTGCTTTTGTTGTTTATTCAAGTAGAGGGGCTTGTGTGTTCCTCGTGGGCTTAGGAAGTGCAGGAGCTAGGGCGAGCTGTGTTGTTTGTGTGGTAAACGTAGGCAGGATGGGCGAGTGGGTGTCGGCACGGGGATGGGTGGAGGATTTATAGCTCTCTGCCTTTGTGGACTAAGCGGCAATTAAGAATAAGGTTGGGGTGGGTGGGTGACGCTAGCAACGAGTTGCACAATACTAGTACATGTACTCTGTAAAGTTCGTGGGATGGGACAGGTCGAGAAGAGCAAGGTCACAGGCCGGGGAGGGGGTCGGATGGGTCATGGGGATGCAGGTCGCCTGAATATATGGAGACTGGGGATGAAATCTGAGCTCTCCAACGTCAGCTTCCTGGCCATCCCGTCTGGAAGCCACTTGGCAGGTGAGCAGGGGCTGTGGAAAATGCTGTATGACGGCACGAGTAGCGCAGTAAACAAAGTTTGTGAGGCAGGGAAGCGCGGCCAGTGACGGGACACGGCCTGGTGTGCGCGTTCCGTGCCTTGCAGCTGCCGCCAACCCCCCCAACTTCCCCTAAATCCCGAGATTGCTTGTAGATTACTCGCCCAATCCACCTGCAGTCCTGCGATCTACACATGCCAACGATTGGCCACCGAAAGGGCCAACTCTGCAACTCCCGCCACAACGGCTCAGCCGTTAGCTATGTCACATCGTCACCAACTCGGGTTCGCGCAGCTGTGAGGGCTGGAACGGGAAACCAGAGTGCCCTCCACTGAACTGGGATTAAGTAGGACCGAACGCTTTCCCACATCGAAGCGGATTGTGATGGTGTAAGTTGAGAGCATGTGCTTTCTAGCGGCTGCCATCGCGATCGGCAAATTCAGCGGTGACATGGGAGGAGGCACAGCCGACATGGATTTAGAACCATCGCCTGGGCAGGCCGGTTGGGCGGTTGGCCGTTGGTCCAGCAAACAGCCCCCGCAGCGGCTACCGACTTGCACTAGGCCAACAAGTTTCACCATCGCGTTGGGTCAACCCGCAACCCATAGTTATTGCTCAACATAGGGAACCAAGGGACAGATGAGCGGGCTGCCAAGTTGAATCCTGTGGATGCCAATGCTGCTCTCGGGGCGGGCAATGTAGCTGCGCGGTATGATTTTGTCAAGAAAGATCCCTTTACTGTGACTGCCGAGCGGCGGTTAATGTTTGGGGTCTGGTCTGGTAAGATTAATGTCAGTTCCAGGTTCCATTTTGGGAAGCAAAAGTGACGGTGCTTCCCTTGGTATTTCTGGATGCAGATCTCCGGAGAGAGGGGCTCCAGTGGCACAGTGGGCATCCAGACCCAGCTTCCACCGGGATGCAATTGGCAATGCGCCAACCGACAACTCACATGCAAGTAGAGATGTCTTGTCACCAGCGGCCGCTGCAGCAACACGTCGTGTTCATGATTCTTTCGTCAGTGATCTCCTACTACCCACTCGCGGAGCGTGAGGTTTCGGGAGCATGCTGATAGCTCGCATCTCGCAGAAGAGACAGTGGATGCGGCCAGTGCTCTGCTGAATGGCGAATGCTGAATGCGAGGGAGGGGTTAGGCGCTGATGGCCAGATGGCCGAGCAGGGCTGCCCGGGTTGGCGGGCGGCTGCCCGCAACGATCTGTTTCACGCTGATCCTTGACCAACGCCTGCTTGGCGTTTCGTTTGCCCTTTCGAGTTGTCTCTTGGAGTCCAATGGATTTCCTGACTTTGATATTTGACCAGACATGGCAAACTGCTAGTTCACGAATGTGGCTTGGGCGAGCCTCTCGCCTGACTAGTAGAAGCTGGAGAGGATAAAGGAGGAGGCTGACTTTGAAGGAACGAACGAACTTGTGCTGCGGAGAGCGCAGCTCGGCCCGGCCGGCAGCTCATCATCCCGAAGTCCCCCAGAAACATGCATCTGGGGTATCAGACAAGTGACCTGAGGACCCAGATAGACCGGGCAGTTTTGGAGGGCTGCCCTTCATGAACAGCGAAAGAGATGCATTGCTCAAAACCCAAGCGTAGGAACGGTCGGAGAGGCAGTCTCGAGACAGCATAAGCGGTCGGGTGTGACGGAGGTTCTGAGGTTTATTAAATATGAATTTGTATTGCTCGCTGGATCAGAGGATCAGGCCTGAGGATCGCCATATTGAACGATGTCTCGGTCTGTAACCTGTCCACGTTGGATTTGGAATCATGGAAGGTGAGAGGAGTGACGGCCTTCATGGTACGAAGGACCTAGGTGAGTACCGACCCAGACCTCAGGTGGTTGATTCAGCTTGCAGGAATTGACACTTGCACTGAACAGCCCGCCCACCAACCGGCCCCACCTGAGGATTCCCCATGCTCCCCTGCAATCAATTGATGGGTGGATGGGTTAGCCAAGAGCTCAGCCAGCTGTTGCTGCCTCAGTATTGAGGCGCTGAATAACTAGTGGGTCCTGCTGCCTTGGTCAGCGGCTGCCGAGAAGCCGCAGCGGCGCCGAACTCAACAACCAACTGCCCACCAATTGCATCAGCTCGCCGGTGATTCCCGAATGTCCACGACGAGTCGACGCTCGACGCTCCGGAACCGTTACGCTGCCTTTCGACAAGAAGACTTCCCGTACCTTTATTAATTAAAGCGTCGTGCTTCAGTCGCCCAAAATGAAGCCTGTTGTGAGTGCCATGCAAGCATGGTCTTGGTGAGTGGCGTCGCCTCCCGGTTTGGATTGTTGGAAGTTCGCATTCGAGTCGTTGCTGATGCTTTGGTAACCCAGCTTTGTTATTTCGGTATTTGCCATCGTTATTCTCTCTGTCCTCGGCTTCCTCTTCCGGGGTAACCACCCCGAGCTCGTTGGCGGCGAGGAGGATCCCGCAGACGGGCCAGCAGTTGCAGCCACCGTCTTCACGGCCGTTATCATTTACGCGGTATGTTGCGCCAAACATACTTCCACGCGGGTATCAAAAGTTGGGAATCGAGAATACTTGCGAACGCGCGGCTGACATCTGTTGTTGTCACTAGGGATTCCTCGTCTTCTGCGGCTGCCAGGGCCTGTTGCACCTCCGCGAAAACCGGCGAGGCGCGATTGCACTATAAAGGGGGTGGTACATGAGTTTTGTAATCATATACGGCGTTCAAGGTCTGCTTGGATTGGGGGATGTCTTTATCTGTGTTTCCTTGAAAGGGGGCCCTGTTACACTATGTTGTATCCATCAGACGGGCGTCTGGCGTGGTAGCGGCGTATTGGTGCAATCCAATGGATGCATTGCCTTCTCTCCTTCGGCCCATATGCCCGGCATCGCAACCGTCTTCAGGGTAACTTCGATCCGAAGGTGGTGGGGTGAGGATCTGGTCTGGTCGAGTCTCTGGCCTTCAGGCGGTTGGGTGGTTTTACCGAAAACGACCCGTGGAAACCAGCAGCAAAACAACAACTAGCTCGACCCGAAGCGGAGGTTCCCCATGCCACAAGCTGTGGCCGTTTCCCCTTGGGCAGATGCTAGGGATGCCTGTCTGCCCGACTAGTTAGTCCTCCTTGGAGAATGGGGTTGGGCCGACAAAAGGAGGGGCCTTGGCGATCAGTCGGGTCAGCTCATCCCGTTCAGGACTGAGAGTTGCACCTTCCCAACAATTTTAAACTCACAATTCCAATTCCTAGAAAATATCTTCAGCTCTAGGCATCCTAGGCAACCACAGTACACAAAGTCATTAAATCTTTGGTTTTCCCCAGGCCGGAGGCAGACCGCCTAACGATCACGGGATCTCGTGTCCACTTCGTGGGGAATCCATCCGTCATTCTAGGCAGAAGAGCGCTATCCAAGCCCGATGTGGACGAAGGGTTGGACGCGATTGCCCCTGACCGCGCCACAAGACACAAATCACGTCCAAGCCCTCAACCTCTACCAAGATTGAACACCAATGAATGGTTGGGATCTGCCTTGTCGAACTTTCTTTAAAAAGGGAATATCCTCTCCCCCTTCAATTCACTCCGTATCTTGAATTCTTTACTTTTCCCAACCACCAAGGCGCACTTGCAATTATACCAACTCAAGCTCAAGTGCCCAATCCCTTATTTCATTCACTTGTCTCTTTCTCAGCCCATGCCGGGTCATTTTCTCTTGAATTCCGACCCAACCACCCACTGTCGAGATGGCATCCGCCATTGCCCCAGCCCTCCCCGTGCCCCTGACCGGCCTCGTCAAGCACATTGGTGAACACCCAGACACGCCAATGGTGGAAATCTTGGAGCCGTTCCGCAACTATGAGGCCCATCTCCGCCAGGCTTTTGCCCAAGACCCCGACAATGAGCTGCTCAAGGACCCCCTTATCAACGTCCTACCTCTCTTCACCGAAGATACCCACAGCATCAAGATCAGGGCCCGCAACCTTGAGGCCGAATCGAAGGTGGAGAAGTCCAGGTACATCATGCCTCTTTCCGCCGGAGTTCGACGCCCAGACAAGTCTCCCGCCGTTGTTCCGTCCTTGAAGGACTTCCAGCATAATTTCAACGTTTTCTCCGAGTCTTCGCTCGCTGAGCTCGATTGGTACGTGACCGTGTTGCTTGCTGCTGTTCTAGCGACGCTGAGGGTGAAACTGACGATCAAAAATCCTTATAGGAGCAATGTGGTTGCAGCAGGATCATCTGTTGTCAACACCCTCCTTCCTGTTCCGGATGAGTATAACGGCTCCAAACGCGGCCTCCGCCAGTTTTATCATGAGAAGTTTTCGCCTGCTTCTGATGTTGACCTGTTCTTGTACGGCCTTACCGAAGAGCAGGCCATTGAGAAGATCAAGGATATCGAAGCCCGGGTCCGCGATGCGCTCCTGACAGAGACCACCGTCGTCAGGACGAAGCATGCCATCACCATCTGTAAGCCATTACCGCCCCCTAAACCGGCCATCCTGGACCGCCTTGGCTCACACGCTCGTGCAGGCAGCCAGTATCCAACTCGTCACATTCAGGTAACCCGACACAACTAACTGTATCATTTGCGTTGTGACTAATCGTTCCAAGATTGTTCTGCGAATCTACAAATCCGTTTCGGAAATCCTCACTGGCTTCGACATTGACTGCTCAGGAGCCGCCTACGACGGCAAGCAAGTCTACTGCACACCCCGCGCTCTGCAGTCGTACATGACGCAGATCAACCACATTGACTTGTCCCGCCGTAGCCCGTCGTACGAAAACCGCCTCTCTAAGTACAGCCACAGGGGCTTTGAGGTGTACTGGCCCAGCTTCGACCGTTCCCGGGTCGATCCAACCATTTTCGAGCGGAGTTTCAGGCTGACTGTCGGGCTTGCAAAACTCCTCGTTCTGGAGCGGCTTCCTACGCCCGGTGCGAGAGATGCTTATCAGGACAAGAGACGTGAGGAGAGAGGTCGCCCCCGTCTTGACCGCTATTACCGTCGTTTCCGATCCCTCGGCGGCAACATCAAGGAATACCATGAGGATGAAGTGGCGGACTGGTACAATGACGAGGACGTTTCAAACTACCACACTTTCGCAATTCCTTACGGCGTAAAGTTCAACGCCAAGCGGATCGAGAAGCTCTGCTACACCAGGGATCTTTGTAAGTCACTCTCTCGAATGCTTTTTGATGGTTCTTCGGACTGAACAATATGTTACAGTGCTCAATGCAGAGTGGAACCAACCCGACGACAGAGAAGTTTATCTCCATCGTCACCCAGCCTTCGTATGATCAACCAAACCCGGTAACTTATGGTTTGGTTTACACTGACATTTTCCAGTTTGGCCGCGTCGACGATGTTGTTAACGATTGTTGCGGGTACTGCCCAGTTCCCAAGACGGCAGAAGAAAAGGAGGTGGCGGAAGAGGAAGGGAAGATCTATGTCTCGGGCAAGGTATCGTTTATGAAGGACGACCCCGGCAGACAGGTGCTTGGCCCATGTTCCAATTAATCTGCCTCCAGCCGAGTCGGCCTCTGTTAACACGTGAAATAGGAAATCGGCTCGTTCAACCCCCTAACCGATGACGACTGGACCGAGATGGCATATGTCGGCAACACAGCTCGACTCTGCCAGGCCATCGTGGATGAGGACCTCGATCACGTCGTAGACTGGCTCGCCCAAGAAGGCGCCGACCCCAATACTCGTGACTACACTGGCAGGACTCCGCTACATCTGGCGGCGATGAGCTCCACGCCTGAGGTTGTTCGAGCACTTGTCGACGCTGGAGCCCGTCTCGTCGCTCGCGTGGCGGACGGTAGAACGGCACTCCATTTCGCCGCTGCTCGTGGCCATGCTGAGATCCTCAAGATTCTCTTGGACAAGAGCGTCGCCAACGAAGCCGAGCATGAAGAGAAGCAAGACCAGCGTCGCCGAGACAAAAACGCCATGGAGGTCGATCAGGACAAAGCTAAAAGCAACGAGTCAGACGGCGCTGAGGAGTCCGACGGCGAGCTTATCGATGGATCCGATTCCGGCGACGAAGGTCAGAGCATGGCAACAGGATCTTTTGTCAAGGTCGGGAAGAATGAACCCGAGTCGCTCGATGAGATCGCACTCCAAGATGCCGAGGAGGAGCCCGACTTTTACGACATTAACGTGGTCGCCTGGGACAGGCCTTGCTCGGCCTTGCACTTTGCAATCGTTGAAGGTCATGTGGAGGTTGTCAAGACTCTGGTTCAGGTATGAAGACAAGCCCAACCTCCAGCAGCAAGGCACAGCTGACAAAATAAATTCAAGGAGTACGGCGCCGATGTCCTGCTGCCGGTCAAGTTCGGGGACCAGTCCAAGACCAGTTACGATGCCCTGCTCACCCTGGTTCTCGCCCTTGCTCTCCCCGTGGAGAAAGCAAAGGAGATAGCCAAGGCGCTTCTCAGTCTCGGGGCTACTTCAGCCCAAGCAGACAAGAATGGCGCCACTGCTTTCCACCGCTACGTCACAGCAAACGCGAAATCGTTGCTCGAGACACTTTGGGAAAATGACCCTGTTGGAACCAACACGGCTATTCACCATATCGCCTTTGCCAACTCTTCTACCTGCGAGAACCCGTTGCAAGCCGCTATAAATAACGGAAACCTAGCCGTGATCTTGAAGTTACTCGACCACGGTGCCGTCCCACAAATCGAGTTCGAAGCCTGGTATGTACTCCTGGCTTTTTTCTTCCTTCTTTTTTTTGTTCTACCTAGCAAACCCGCAGCTAATCTAAGGACGACCAGGCTCAAAGCGGCAAAGCAATCTCCGGCGATGGAGAACCAGCTACGAACCTTCGAAGACAACCAGAATCGCTACAAACAGATGGTGGAGCAACCTTTGATTCTCGCGTTGCGATCATCCAAACCCGAAATTGCCATTGAGCTCTTGGAGCGCGGCGCTGACCCCAACGTTGTCGACAAGTCAGCACAGTATTACCTGCAGGCGACTTGGGCCCCTCAGTTCACAGGCGAGTCCGCGTTGGACATTGCAAACAACCAAATCAAGGTTCTCGGTGAATACAACGACAGTGCCGTGACGAGGAGAACTCGTCCCCCCACCATGCCCGAAGGAACCGACATATATCTCAAGAAGTACGAAGAGGGGACATACGAGCATTGGTCTATATCCAAGGCGGTTCGCAAACTCCAGGAGTCTCATGACCGGAACCTCAAAAAGTACGAGAAGGACAAAGTGTTGGACGACCGCAGTTCTGGCCTCAAGGAGAAAGAGGCGGTGATTGTGGAAGCCAAGGAGCGGATGGAGAAGGTCAGGGAAGCTTTGATTGCCAAAGGAGCCAAGACCTTCCCGGACATTTACCCCGAGTTCAAGCACCGCTTGAACAAAAAGAGGAATGACCGCTACAATACCCTTGGCCGGAACAACATCTCCACGCCTTTCAAGTACATATTTTCCTTCAGGAACGTCAACGATGTGACCGAGTCAAGGAACGCGGCCTATCACAAGCTGTAAGTCTCGCAAAGCAGTCTGGAGCTGTTTTGCATCGTTACTGACAACGCAAAGGTTCAATGCCGCCTTCAATGGTGACCTTGAGACCATAAAGAAGCTGACATTGACCTCCTGGGATGATGCCAAGGAGGAAGCTCCCCTCAAGATTGCTGTTTACGACCAAGGCTCGCAGAACCCATTCTCGCTTGCTTACAACCGCGGCCACTATGGTGTAGCGAAGGCGGTTCTCGAGATTGTGCAGGCCCAGTATTCCCCAGGAGAGAAATCCAAGACACGTTACAGAATGGAGGATGACGCCGACTGCGACGACGAGTACTCGGAAGACGACGACTCGGAGAACGAGCCGGATGATGTGTCCATGCACGGCGATGATTCTAGACCAAGGATCTATGGTCACATCGTCGACGAGCACTTCACAATCGACAACGTGGGCCAAGTGTCGATGAAGGTGAACAGCCGCACCAAGCCTCTGGATATGGTGGCATGGACATCTCCCTTGACCAGTATGTGAAACCCTGATTGAACTTGCTTTGCCGAACGGAGCTGACCTATTTTTGCAGAGGTCATCTCGGATAACGACATGCCGAACCTGAAATTCCTCCTCGATATCTACGAGTACTGGAGCTCCCAAAAGCTCGATTCGGAGGATGAGGCTTTAGGCTTCTTCTCCTTCCCCATTAAAGAGTTCAAACTTGCAGTCAAGTTGGGTCGTGTGGAGTTGCTTGGAGAAATCATCAAGCGCACCGGCGCTGGGTTACCCTTGGAGCATATGGTGAAAGGTACAGGCATAGAACTACAGGTCAAGCCTCGGTACTACCAGGGGCTGACGGTCTACGGAAAGAAGAGGTGAGTTTTACTCGTGGCACGACGCTCGTTTGCTCTAGTCCGAACTGACACCGCAATGTAGGAATGACTGGGCTCAAGCTGGTCGGGAGACGGTCAACACATCATCTGGTGGTACTCAAACCTCGCCCCTTCTACTCGGTGCTTTTGACGCCCGGATCGAAACCGTGGAGTGGTTCCTCAGCGACACTCCGCTGAGGCATTATCTCACGTTTGCCAAGTCTAAGGCAGCCCGCGACAACGTGAAGTTGAAACATCTGGCTCAAGCTCCGGGCGGATTTGATGGCGCCATCTCCAAGTGGCTCGATGATCAGAGTGAGCACGCCTTGCAACGCAAACCACACTCGAGTGTGCAGAAACTGACGAAATACAGGCGAACTGGTCCTCCACGCTGCCATCCTTGCCCCCCCAACACAGAGGGCCATTGATTTGGCGTCGTATCTTGTCAAGACTCAGCCGTTTTTGGTTCACGTCAAGTCAGCAAATGGTTCAACACCGCTTCTGCTTGCCTACCGCCTGGGCCGGTTCGATGCTGCTAAGATTCTAATCCAAGCGGGAGCTGACCAAACGGCCAAGGATTATCAGCGGAACAATCTTTTACACGTTGCGCTGAACGCCGTTCCAGATACGAAGACACTGAAACCGATGTTGGATCTCCTCGACCGCAGCGCACTCATTCCGATGCTGAAAGAGCGGAACAAGCTCGAACAGCAGGGCCGAACACCCCTGCACCAATACTGCGCTGCCACAAAGCACTATCTTGGCAAGGCCGCTAACAAGGTGATTCGCATGTTCAAGTTGTTCAATGATATCTCGCAAGAAGCCACCAACCAAGCCTTCAAGACCCTCGATGGCACCGGAGACACCCCACTACACACCTTGCTAGCTACGGACGCGGACCCGGCCATCATCCGCGCCGTCATCGACTTAGATTCAAGCCTCTTGTGTTATGAGAACGCCGTTGGCCGTACGCCGGCCGAAGTTGCTCATGATCGTTATCTCTCGATTCATATCAAAGCGCCGGGCCACAACTATTATCATAGGGACACGTCGCTGTCATCGTTGGTGCATCAGCACCCCCCTGGTTTCATCAAGGAGAAGGAATGCGAAGAGCCCAGGGAGCATGAATCTACAGCCACCGTCGCTAAGAATTGGCGTCTGTGTGCCGACAGCATGGCGCGCGATGGCCAGCCCAAGCGAACGCTGGTCAGCCTCAACGCGGCCAATTTTGTCGCAAAGCGACTCGGCGAGCAGAACACGAGGGACCGCTACCAGTTCAAGCTGGTGAAGATCGACGAAGATGCCGCTGCAGCGTCAACTAGTTCGGAGGATAGCGACAACGAGGCTGGCGATGCACCAGCCCCGGTCAAGCCCGTGGTCAAGCCCCCGGTCGATGCCATCGCAAAGAAGACCAAACCCCGGCGGGTGGACGTCGTCTCCGAGAGATACTACCAGACGAATGACGCCTGGGTACGCCCTCGGAAGGAAAAGAAGAGGAGTGATGATGACGCGAGCGACAACAGCGACGGCGACGAGAGTGTGAAGGATGAGAACGAGGATGAGGACGAGGACGACGAGCTGTTCCCCGTTTGCGGCAAGTGTGGCGAGCGTCACTACCGGCTTTGGGTTGCTGAGATGACGACCAACTTGAAGAAAGTGCAGAGCTCGGAGGATACCGAAATGCTGTAGTTGACGGGAGGGAATTGGGAATGTGGCTGATGATTTGATGTAGTTGATGATTTTGGGACCATGTCGGATTAATGGCAGGCTAGAGACGAGCTATGAGCACCTCACAAGGCAAAACTTTGCAAGTTATCATATGATCGGGATAGAAGGTTGCGGGTATGTTTTGGTAGAGAATTGCAAGCTCAACCATGTTTTGTTTCGATGCCGCCCAATATCTCGTAAAAAAAAAAAAAAAAAAAAGAAAGTGACAGTTTTGCTTCACTATTGACTTACCCCTGAGTGTATGGCTCAACCACCATCACCCAACGATCACACGGCATAGTTCACAAGAGGTAGTCAACTTTTCGATCGGCCGCTCAATTCCTTTAACTCTCCCTTTGATGCTCCTATCCCACCCAAACAGATCCTAAAAAGTACAACAAGGTATGTAGGGTATGGTACTCGCTCGACCCGGACTCCTGTCCCTATTCCCGGTTCCCGCTGTCCGTCCCTCGGCTCGGGGACCGGCCGACGGCCAACTAGGCTAGTTACTACTACTGTACAACAAACGACGAAGCGAACACAGCAGCACCGAGATACTAAGTATGTACCAATAACAATAATAATAAACAGCAGCAACGACAGTTTAAAAAGGGGGGTATTTGGCGGGGTATAAGAAGCATAAAAAGCAAGCAAGCATCGAACACCACAGTCGAAACCAAGAAAGAAGAGGAGGGAGGGAAGAAATTAAAGAAAACGAGAGGGATTCAATCCCTAATTACCTCGCTGTGATGAAAAAAAAAAAGAATTTTTAAAAAGAGAAGAGGCTCCTGGTGGTATCATCCCTGACATCCATCCATCCATCGACCCATCAAGTCAAAGCAATCCATAAAAAAGCACCCACGACCCATTCAAATCAAAGCCGCTCGCTCGCTTGCCCATCGCCGGGTGAAAACCTCCCCGGCCAAAATTCTGAGCGCCCGTTTCGTCCTGGGCGGCTAGGACCTGCCCTTGCGCCAGACATGTTTCCGTTCCCCGACTGACTACCCACCTAGACGACCAGACAGACAGACGACTAGGCAACTCGGCCCAACTTGACCCAGACGCCCGAACTCCAAGCAAGGCAATCCAGAAGCCCGCCAAGTGCCGTTCGTCAGTCAAACCCCAAGGGCAACCCAGCAATGGATGGCGCCAGGAACGCCAAAACCGGCCCAACACGCCGAAAAAATAGCAATAGCAGCCAGCAACAACCCCGTCTTGAGGCCTAATACCACACCACCACCACCACCACCCATCCCCCGATCACATCACATCACATCACATACATGTGTCTGTGCGCGCCTTCGCCTTCCTCGAAAACCAGCGGGTAAGAAGGCCGCCCTACCCCCTCCACCTCGGCCTCGGATCCTTCTCCTTGGCGGTCGCTCTCGCCGCAACAGCAGCCGCAGCAGAGCTACTGCTGCTGTTGCTGCCCTTGCGCATAGCAAAGCGCGCGCCAGCAACGGCCTGCGGGCTCTCGCGGCCCGTGAGGCCGCCCCGCGACGGTCTTGTGGCCGTGGCAGCGTCGTTGCTCGTTCGTGGTTGAGGTAGTAGGCTTGTGCGGCGCGAAGACGCGAGCGAGCTGGCGGGCCTGCGCGGGGTGGTGGCGGTTGGTGGGGAGAGGTCGATTGGTCTAGGGGGCTGTAGCGAGGCGCGCCTGTTTGTGAGGGAGGCGGGTGCGGAAGGTTGGGAGGCGAGGCGGGGTCGGTTGAAGGTGTGGTGCTGTTGTTGTTGGGTGTCTGGTGGCGATGCAAGGCGTTCGCGGAAGGAGAGGAGGGACCCGCTCTTGGACGGGGTGTGCTCGGCGATGGGCGAGGTAGAGGTCCCGCGGGAGAGAGGGGTGCGGAGGGTGGGGAGTTTGGATGCGGAGGACGGTGTCAAGCCGGAGTTGGAGCGGACTGGGGTAGGGGATCGCTTAGAATAAGGGCTCGGCGTGGTGAGGGTGAGGGGCTTGAAGTTGTGCCCTGTGCCAATGTCTGATGTGTTGGTAGAAGAGTTCCATCTCGGTCGGTTGGCCAAGGAGGAAGACGGCCGCGGTAGCCTGTTCGCGGTTGGCGTAGCCGAGCCTTCGCGAGATGGGACCGAGAGCGTCGACATCCTAGCGGCTACGGGTTTCCGGGATACTTGGCTATTCGGAGTAGGCAGCAACGACTGTCTGCGGTTACCAGGGGTGGCAAAGTGACCCAGGGCGCTTGCGGAGCGCGGTGGCGGAGCTTTGAGATGAGTCGAGCTGTTGAGGCCCATGGAGGACATGATCACGGAAGAGGGAGGTGAGCTCTGAGGCGTATCGTTGCCGCTCGCGAGAGTTGACATGTCGTTGGACAGCATGCTCGAAACGGAATCCCGTAGTTGCTGCCCCCTCCTGTCGGCGTGCAGCTCCTCGACCACGGCATCCGTGTCCGCTATGGCCTCCTTCAGGTCCTCCCACTTGGCCTGCATTTCATTGTGCAGACGGAGAATCTCGCCGTTGACGGTCAACCGGTCCTTGACTCCCTTATCAATGATGGATAACACTCGCTCGATCGCTGGGCCGTAGTGCGTCTTCTTCGCCTCATAATTCTCCAGCTTCTTGCTCATGATGGGTTGGTTGGTTAGATGCATGCCGGTGTCGATGGCCTCGCGGAGCCTAGCTACGCTCCTCTCGACTGACTCATACATCTTCTGCGCCTGCCGTCCGGCGCCACGGAAAACAAGAACCCATCGATCCTCACCCAGTTCCTTACGCAGGGATTCGGCGTCCTTCTCGAGCTTCTTGTAAGTCGAATCCAGCTCCGACCGTCGAACTTCTAGCTCCTCGCATGCCGTAGGAAATATGCTGTCGGCTCTGTTTTCAAAAACGGAGAGCCTCATGGGCAGGAAATCCAGCGAGGCTCTGAGGGGCTGCATCCTAGCGAACAGGGCCAGCAGGCTGGAATCGTCCTGGGAGATGCCGGTCGCGTTGGGCGAGGGCGAGGTAGGGCTGATGGGGAACACGGGCACGCTGAAACGATTGTTGGCGGTTTGCAGCCGTGCGGGCGCCCGGGGCGTGTCCTCTACTATCGTTTCCAAGTCGCCAATGTCCATGCTGGGATCGCCGGTTGGCACGCCCAGAATCGACTTGTGGCGTCGTTCTTCCATTTCGAAGACTAGCCTCGCAAGGTCGTCCATTTCGTTCTGGATGTCACCAAGCACCATGTTCCATAGCTCCTCCCATTCCATGGCAATCTCGACTTGGGCCTTGACGTTGTGCAACGTCTTGCGCATCTTGCCCCACTCGGCGAGGATGGCCTCCATCTGAGCAACGGCTCTGCGGAGATCATCGGCCGCGACGTAGGTGATGTCCTCTCGGCACTGCAAGTCCTCAATAGCGCCGACGTAAACCTTAATCAACTCCTCGAAGCGGATGATGGCGTTTTCGACCTCCTCAACGCCTTCGCGCCCGCCGGCGGCGGCCCATTCGACGTCGTCATCGCTCTCTAGGCCCCCTATCACTTCCGAAGCCTTGTAAATCCAGCCACGGATTTGCTCGGCAGCGCCTATCAAGGCCTTCGTCGCGACCTGGGCTGTCGGGATGGCTGAAACCTTATCACTCAGCGAGTCGGCATCCGGAAGCTGTAGTGACGTCAGCTGGGCAAGCTGGTTCGCGAACGAGGCTCGCGATAGCGTGTAAATGGACCCCGCCCTTTGGAGTCCCAGGGGGTTGAATGTGATGGAGTCGGCATTGAAGACGTCTCGTGTGGTTGGCGTGGTTGGGTTTGTGGCACGTCGTGTTAGTGGTGGCGTATCCTTGGGAAGTGGCGGAGGTGGGATCTCTGGTGTCTGGGGTGCCTGGGGAGGCCGGGTATCCCTCGCGATGTGTTCATCCCTTGTCTCGGGCTGGGCCTTGACTCCGTTTCCGTTTGTGTGGTCGGGAAGACGGTACTTGTTTGTGTCCATGTCCAGCGGTTCGGACGTGGTAATCTCTGGAAGAAGATCGGGCTTCGTAACGGGAATGGTAACCTCGGACACGGGCTCTTCGGGGACAGGTTCTTCGGGTTCCGTCCTTGTCTGCGACCTCTCCGACTTGAGGCTCGACCTCGATGAGATGCGGACGATGCCCTTCCAGGGGCGGCCCCGCCGCTCTACAACGGGTTGCGCGGAGCCGGCGATGTGCTCCTGATCGAGTCGTCTGAGAGCTTCTTCCGGGAGACGGCCGGGTTCTAGATAATGGGAGGGCGGTGGTGGGCTTGACTTGCGTGTTGTGCCGAAGCCTAGGGCCTTTAATCGCGCTGCGAGACCTGGCGAGGGTTTCCTTACGCGATGAGCGGGTGTCGAGGTGGGAGAGCTGCTAGCCGAGAGCTGGCGCGGCTGTTGCGGTTGCTGTTGTTGTGGGGGAGAGCTTTTTGGCGGGTCGCCAATGTGGCTGTTGCTAGTGTGGGCTGTGCTGGGTTGATGTTGTTCCTGTTGCTGTTTTTGCTGGTCTGAGTCGAAAGCACCGAGATGCGCCAATTCGCCGGGAACTTCAGAGAAGGTCAACACGACGTCGTCATCGTCATTGCTTGAATTGAAGTCGACATTCTGGTTAACGGTTGCTGCTATATCGGTGCCGGCGACAGCATGATCGGCAGCAGCAGGATTGTCTTGCTTGTTGCCACTGCCTGGAGCAGCAGCATCAGCAGCAAGAGATGTCATTTAGTGGCTCGGACTCTCTGGCTGCAGCGAGAGCTCGCCGATGGGTAAAACTGCAGGCCTGCCGCTGTGGTGGGATGACCGACTTGAGCCGACTTGCTGCTCAAACAAGCAGCCGGTCAGCTTTCAGTGGTCTGTGTTGCTGCTCGTAGCGGGCCGCCTGCCTCCTGTGGGCTTGGTTGCAGTCTTGCAGAGGGGCCCGGATGGGTCTTTCTCCATAAATCTGGGCAGGGACCTTCCTGGCTGCACGTCCGACTGGCTGCGTGTTTCAGTGATCTGAGAATGATTGCAGCGCGCTCCAGTCAACGAGTGGCTGTTGGATGACCAGACGACATGGTGTAGCGCGGCGGGGTGGGTTTTGCTGTTGGCGATTGGGGGAAGAGAATCTTGCAGTGCGCAATGGTTTGCAGCAATTGGCGATGCGCACGAAAATCGACAGGCCAGCAGCTCTCAGGCGGGTAGCGAGATGAGGCCAAGAGGGTAATGAGCGTTGTTGCCGATGCGCCGAAAAGTCAAGATGGAAGGAAGGGCAATTGGGAAGTGATGATGGGCAGGAGACTTTGTGATGGGGTTGGGCAGAAATCGCAGACTGACAAGGGCGGGCTGACGACCCTCGCAACGCCAAACTCTGCGCCGCAGTTAGGCCCTGGTAGCTAGAAGCCTCATGTGATCCGAAACAATCTTTGAGTTGGGTAAGAAAGAACAGGAGGACGAAGTGATGAAGCTTCCAAGTCTTACATGACTTGACTGTGGTTAGTTATTGGTTGAACTGGTTCGATATCGGCAGCCTGCATGCATGGCCCTCCTGGTTTCTGCCCTCTGGGGTCCCACAGGAGGTTTCATTGAAATGGCTTCAATTATCCCCGGCATGGAGTTATGATGGACATGTCATAACTAGCGATTTGAGCAACGCCATGATCATGGCTGGGCGGCATCTATCTGACCCGATTTCCCGATTTTCTGGTTGCAGCCTACGTTTCCCATTCTGTCGGGTGTATGTGGACAGGGGGGAGGATGCGAAGAAGGACGGATTTCTGCGCCTGGTGGCGGCAGTTGGCTGGTCATGACAGGGATCATTCTGGGAGAGATTGGTTCTGGAATGCTTGGTTCTTGGGAGTTCGTTCGTCCATGCAGCTACGCGCGAAAGACTGGTGAACATGCAATGCAGCTGGGCGGAGATGGAAGATCTCCGCGCAGTGGAAAAGAAAGGGGGGAAAATACACAAGAAACCGTTGAGAAAAGAAAGGGGGAAATGCAGGAGAGACAATTGGATGAACCCTCCTCACTCCGTTTGGACAGATTGTCGATGGGAGAAAGAGTCATGTGAAGATCCCTCCGAGCAGAGCAGCCCGAGAGTCAGCCAGCCAGCCAGCCACGAGCAACCTGCTTGAAGAGCGTTGTTTAATAAATTTACTGTGTAGGCAGGGTAGGGTGCAGCCAGGGCCACATACGCACGTTCCCGTTCCCGAACCGTTTGCAGCATCGTTGCCGAAAAAATGTCTCCAACGTCTGTTCCATGTTCATTCATTCCTCCACCCATCATCCGTCCATCCGTTCGGAAGATCATGTTGCGGTCTCATGGCCGAATCTTGCAATACGACGCTCTGTAATGATGGCAGGGGTAGCAATGCCTCTGGCCAATCATTTGTGTTCAGCAAGTGAAGCTCTCGTCAACACCAACGGAAAGGCACGCGGCCCCATTTCTCTCGGTTCCCTGATCGCCTGGCACACCTGGTTCTCCTTGGTTCCTTTCATGATGAATGTGGCATCAAAATGGCAATGTGACCGAATGCCACGCGCCCTCCCCGCTCGTGAATCGTGAGCTTGTCAGGCCTCCCAGTCTTTCCCCCACGGCTCAGCATGTCCCAGACAAGCATTCCTCGCCGGCCTCTCCGGATCTGTGCAGGGTCTTTCCAAGGCTGCAAGGTTCCAATTGAGAGATTGCAAGATTGGGCTTGTGTGAGCTCCACTTATCCCTCGCCTGCCAAGCCTTTTGCTTTCACGCGTTCGTGATACCCCACAGTCGGGCCATCGCGTCGACCACCCGGTGCTTCTGGAACCATTTGCGTAATTGCTGGTCTCCACCCGAACCCCTGGCCAAGCCCATTCTTCAGTGCATCAACCCCGGGAAGTCTCCCGACAACCCCCCATCCCGTCTCAGCAATTCTTCCGCCTGAAGCCATCCGATCCGATCTCCTTCTCCATACCTTCAACAGAGTACGAAGTAGAAGGCGACTTCTCCCTGCACCCCATCTCTCTTTTTGCCTGCCCAAAACACCACCTCCCCGTTTTGCACCGGTTGTTTCAGTGCTGCAGCAGATCTCGAGAAAAGACGCAACGCAGCCCAGTTCTCGTCAGGCCCTGTTTCCCTTGGAATCTTTGGGTTGGTTGCTCTACCGTGTTGTCTTTACTGCCGCGTTTCACCTTGCCAGCTCCCGCCTCTGCAGTCCCGGGCCGCTCTTGTTTACTTCGGTCCTCTCCACGGCCGTAGCGACGCAACCTAATCGTGCCTAAACAATCGAGGCGAGAACCATCGACGGAAAGGGACAGCAGCTCAAATCCGGCGTCAACATGGCTGCGTCGTCTAACCCCGCCATCTCACGGAGTGGCTCGCCTGCCCCGGACTCCGTGCCTCGACCAGCTCTTGGAGGCTACCCAAACGCCTCCCGCTGCCTCTCAACCGGCTCGAACATCTCGCACGGCTCTGCAACCACCGAAGCCTCCCACTTTCGGGAATCCCTCGGCAGTGATGGCTCTACCTTTTCCCGCCACTCGTCAGCGAGCTATCGTCTTTCCGACATCAGCGTCAACGGCGATCAGCTACGACCTCGGGATTCGACCTGCAGCGCGCCAGATACACCGAGGGGGAGGAGCCCAAGCAGGCGTCGGGGCTACATGCGGCCACAGGGCACCGACTTCGCCGCCAGCGCCCGGGCCCGGGAAAGTGTGCTCAGTCTGGGCAGCATCACCCATCTGCAATATTACTTCGCTCGGACCGGCTTGCTAGATGGCAAGGGAGGGCGGTTGGCTCGGAAGCGTGGCGACAAGGCCCACACGCTGGACCTGTCGTCGCTCGACCCCAGCGTGTTTCTAAACCCCAAACAAGGCAGCGATCATGATTCGAGCTATGCGTCCATGGGGAGCAGCCCGGAATTGACATCGCTTGCCGGCTTTGGCAGCGCAATGGGGCTAGGCGCTGGCCCCATGGTCGAGTCGCCCGTCGATGAGTACCACCCGGACCCGCAAGACGAAGATTACTTCTCGGACGAATTGGAGATCGACCCGACTATGCCACCGCCCACAACCAGTACCTACAACCACCGCGAAAAGCCGGTACCAAAGCCGCCATCGATCGCTGAGCTGAGGTCCGATCTGACAAAGTCGCTCGACGTTGCCGAGCAGACCCTGCGGGAGTCTAAGAGCGGCAAAGTGCCCCCGGGCCTGACCATCCGTATCGAGTCAGCGGATGCTCAACCTGACAATGCCCGGCGGCCCTCAATCCCATCCGCGGGGTGGTACGAGATCCAGGGGATGAACATCCTCGACGTCATGACGCTCGCCATCAGGGCCGCCAAGATATACTATACCTCGCACGACCGACCCGATCGTCTCGATGCTATCAAGTCAGAGAAGGTTCTGCGTGGCGAGCTGCTGACAGTCATGGATATCCTCAAGCGCATGGCAACTAGGGGTTTCACTGGCGGTATGCGAGACGATGAGTTCCACACCATGGATGGCTGGATCGTCGGTCTGCGTGCCATGCTGGTTAGCGAGGATGCTATGGAGGCCAAAGAAATCGCTGAGCGGTCGTCGTGGGCCTGGCTCAAACCGGAAGGTTGGGAAGGCCGCGAGTTTGAACGCGAAGAGGCGTTCATGCGGTCCATGCTCAAGGGCCCCGACCCGATCGAGAACATGCCCGTCCTACCGGAATGGAAGCCCATTGACCGAACCCAACCCCTGGAATCGCAATCCCTTCCGACACCCTTCCTTGCGGCGCTATCCAACGGCCAGCGTCTGGTACAGTTACACAACTGCTCGGTCCGCAAATCCCACCGCCGCTTCGGCGCCATTCCCAACTTCTACGCCAACACTGAGAAGCCGTACCGCGGCGCCGACAACCTGCGCTACTGGCTTAAGGCGGCTGAGCTTCGCTGGGAAGTGCTCCTCAAGGCGGATCCCCTCGGTCTGCAGTACAACACCGGCCCGGAACTCTGGGTCGAATTCGAGGATGCCGTCCTCGAGTGGTGCCGCAAGGTGCGCGAGGAGATCACGGCCGAGCTGCAGGAGCAGGAGCCGATGTCGCCTGCGTAATAATCACGGCTGCAGCCTGCGGGCGGTGCGCAGACGAAGGGGATAGGAAGAGATTGTGTGGTTATTTACGACTGGAAAGATGTTATGACTTCTTTTCCTGGGCTGCTTGCTGCCTTCAGCCGCTTGCTCGGCCCATTTTATTCATTTACCTTCCGCTTCTTTTGCATGGTCGAGCTTTACAGAATACTTCGCAACCCGACAACCCTCCCCAGCCACCCGGCTGCCTTTGACTTTGTTACGACCCTTATCTTCGCACCATCCGCCCAACGGGCCTTTGAATTGCACATTCTCAACAAACCAGTCGTCTTCCCAGCACGCCTCTCAACTCAAAAATAGCAGGGCAGCCATTACAGTGGAGGTTTTTCTTTCTCATTCGTTTCGTCGCGCCCCTTTTCACTTTTTTGGACAAACAGACTGCAGCGGTTGACTCAGTCAAACTCGCATCTCACCCTTACTTTATTTATTGACCTTCAAACTTACCCCCATTTTATTACTACCTTGTATTGTTTTTTACATATTGTTCGGACAACCCCGTATATACACATCACTCAGATATACCCCCAGCATAACACCACGGAAAAGGGCGGCGTAATGGTATTGGCTTTTTGGAGGGGGGTAATCGATACTGTATTTTGGAAAGGAAAGGAAAGGAAGAGGGAGGGAATGGTTTTGGCCAGGAGGTTAGAGGATGGAAGGAGGGAGACTGGCAACAGGGAGAGGCCATGGCCATGGGAATTGGAATGGGAATGGAAGGGGAATACCTATATAAATTGAACATAACAGATCACCTGTCACTCACGCTGAAACCTGCCCCTCACTGGTCACAATGGAATCTGGTCAGGTCTGTATATCTCTTGTATCGCCTCCGTCTTTGCAATTCTAATTCTAAGAATGCCGACGCCGATGTCTCATGCTGATGCTTGATGCTGATGCGAATAAGTCCCGCGCCACGCTATCTTATGCCCTGTTTCCTCATACCGCTTGCTTGCTTGCCCGCTGATCCATTCATCGATTAAAGCAGAGCGGAGTAAAGCGTAAGTCCTCGTTGACGGCCATATTATATGCAGGGTCCCATTCATTCATGACAATCGGTAATGTTGCCTCCTCTCTCCCCATGACCGTGGCCTTCCTTCCATTCGGAGCCTGGGCTCCTGTCCCCCCACCTTCTTTTCCCCGAGGCAGTAAGTAGCAGCAGTAAACGACTAGGGAAGAAACCAGACGCAACCCCCAAAGAAAATTGCTCCAAACGCCGATTTGACCAGCACACCGCCCGCTGCTTTGACCAAATAAACTCCTTTTCATGATGCTGCCATTTCCCCCCACCTGCTCTCTTTGTCTGAGCCTAAAACGCCATGTAAATGTTTGTGAAAGGTATGTTGATGATGCCTGCCTGCTTGCCGATGCAAATTCTGAGAAATCAAAGGCTGAGTTTATTAGGCGGAGGTTTGGAAGTCGGTGGGATCGAAAGAAAGGCCGGACCATGCCCAGGTGTCGGTCTGATTGCGAGGGCCGCACAAAGGAACCTGGGATGGCGACAGCGCATCGGACCGACATGTCGAGATCAGATCGCGGACCGCGAGATTCTCGATGGGATCACAGCCGAACTTGGGATCGCGAGATGTCAGGAAAAAAGAAAAAGGGAAAGAGATCAAAGAACCCTTCGCCGGCCAAGCTCAGTATGGCATGTTGGGAATGCCGCCGCCGGCCCCACCGGACCCCCCAAAGCCGGAAGCCGGTCTGCCTCGCGAATTGGCCACCGAAGTGCTACCGCTCCGCCCGAACTGCCGGCTGACGGACCCCCCGCGCTTGGTGACGCCGCCGCCCGTCGAGTTGGCGCGAGGGAAGGAACCGCGCGAAGGCCCCCCGCGGCCGCCCCTGCCACCCCTTCCGCCCCGGCCTCTGACGGAGCTCGACCGCCTGCCGCCGCGCCAGCGGGCGTTGGGGGTCCAGGTTTCGTCCTCGTTCTCCTCCGAGGCCCTGGCCGCCCTGTCGCTCTGCTTGAGCTCCTCGAAGCGCTTGTGCCACTGCTCGACAGCGACGGTACCGG